TATTTGTTACATGTGCAGTAGATACATTTTCTTTGTGCTTTCACATACATTCTAAGCTTCTTCCATAAATTTTGTATTTGTTTTAAAATACGTCAAGGAAAACAGATAGTGTGATGAAGTGTAAATTTAGTAATAAATACTATAAACATGGATGAATTCACACAATCTGTTGATATAAGATTCTTTGTTATGCAGTACATATTAGTACCTAATATGCCTGGACTGACTTTAGTTAGAGTAGTGATTTCTTATGTCATTTCGTATGGTGGAGCTTCATCACCCATGAATGAGCCTAGCAATGGTGGAGAGCCTTAGACCAGAGCCTTGGACCAGAGACATCAAGCTGAATCTGCTATTGGGTTCAGAACTGGAGGAGAAAATTACTGCACCTGAAAATACGTATTTCCTTTTAACCCAGCTGAGAGTCATATGGGGCTTATCTCATGAGACTAATTGCTATTGCAGTTGCTACATAAAAACTTAGGTGTCTTCCTCTTGCCTTTGTCCTCAAAATTAAATACAAACCTTCTTTGGAGGTCAGACATTGTGTTTGTTTCTTTTTTTTTTAGTGCTCAAATTCCTTTCTGCTCTTAGAGATCTTACTCAGGACTCTCTAGAAATACCTTATTGCCCAGAGAAGCTGTGGATGCCCCATCCCTTAAAGTGTTCATGGCCAGGCTGGATGGGACTTTGAGCAAGCTGGTTTGGTGGGAGGTGTCCCTGCCTATGGCAGGGGCGTTGGAACTGTGTGGTCTTTAAGGTCCCTTCCAACCTAAACCATTCTATGATTATAACTTTTATGGGACTTATTCTGATAATAATTCATGTGTTTACTGTACAGAGGTTCTCCTGCAAAGAATACTCCACGATCTTTCCAAACATATAATTGAAGGTATCTTCCTATTGTTTAGAAGTTGAATATATTTGCCTGTACTCTGCAGAACAAAATGTGGTTCATTTCTGTAGCAGCCTTCAAATGTCTGATTTTTCCTCTTTTTCACACAATCACCTTTCTTCTTTGGTGCTAATTCTAGCAAAGCTTGGCACGTAGGTAGGTATATTAGAGTTTGTTAGATGAGTGGAGGAGTTTGGTGCCGTAGATGCTGTAAATTTGATCTGTGTCCGCTTGCTTTCAGAGGAAGACAGATGGGAGATGAAGCTGCCAACTCTCTCTCACAGGATCCAGATGCAGTTCGCACACATTTGCAGAGTCTGACACTGTCCCATTCAATGTACTTGCAAATTCCTTGTTGAATACTTGCTGCTTTTTGAGGAATATCATTCTGACTGCTTCCTTTCAAATACAATCTGAGAAACTTTTAGGAGAGGAGTCCATTTTCCAAGCACTTTGTTACCTGTTTGTGAGTGATAAGGAAAAGGAAATAATTTGTGCAATGCGTGGCTAATAAGGGAAGTGGCTTTCATAGCAACAGTAACTATGCAAAGTTCTTATTCATTCACCTTTCATGAAAAATTGTGTTAGTGATTCAGATCACATAGCTACTCTGGATAAGCAAGCAAGCATTTGTTCACATCTTTGTTTTTCTTTTTTTCTTTTCTTTCTTTTTTTTAATGATTTAAAACTTGGAGCAATTTAACGCCAGTTTTTAATGCTGTGTCCTTCTTTTGTCCTTTATATAGTCATGTATCTTTCGAATATAAATGAGTTCTGAGCTATAGAGACAGCATCCACCAGAAGAGTGATGTTTTCATCTCAGCATGTCCTGTTTCTTAGCATCCTGGTTTTGTTTTTAATCACATAGGTTGCTATCATATTATCTGCTAAGTCATTTTGTGCAAGATGTATTTCAGGATTTCATAATTTCCCTGCTTTACATCAGGACAAAGCTGATATCTTTTATTGTTCAATAGGCAACCTATTCAACTTACAAGGTCAGCCAATAGTACATCCTCTTGGGACACTAAAAGTTGAATCTGAGGGAGAGAACTATACAGAAAGACTGATCTGACATGTAAGCTCTGGGCTAATACAGGGTGAATCACCTTCGGTCTCTCATTGGAAGTCTTCTGTATAAGGGAAAAATAACTGAAGAAAGGACTTGATTTCTTATACCTGAAATGTGCCTGGAGCACTGGTCTTTTGAGTATTGTGAAGCAGTGGAATCTTCCTTCTAGCAGCAAAAGAACGAACAAAGAAAATGAACGAATGAAAAGAAATGTGGGCTCATTGCAGAAATAGCTGGGTGATTTTGTGGTAGTAGATGCAGATAAGACTGAGGCTTTTGAGCCTGGAGAGGGGGTTCAGGGAGGACAGTAATTACTGGCAGTGGGAGAGGACTGAGTCAGAGATCACTTGAAGAAAGTCTTGATCCATAGAAATTCATGGACACAATGGGATACATGCAAAGGATGCTGAAGAAGCTGACTGAGGTTGCTGTGAGGCTGCTCTGTATCATCTTTGCAATGTCATAGATTTCATGGGAGGTCTTTGATGATGGCAGAAAGTCAAATGCTACATCTTTTGAAAGATGGCAATAAGCATTATCCAGGGAACTATAGGCTGTTCAGACTCACTTTTAGTTTCTAGTAAAATCATTGGGCAGGTCCTCTTTGAAGTTATTGCTGAACACATGAAGGAGAAGCCCACGTGGAATAGCCACTATGCATTTACTATGGATAAATCATGCTTGTTGAACCTTATTGCCCTCTGGGATGAAATAGTGAGATCTGTGGATGGTGGGAGACATCACAGAGGGTACCTACCATTACTTTAGCAAATACCACATTTTGTCAGAGTCATCATCTATGGGATGTTGTATGGGATATATTACTATCAGGTGGTTGGACCACCCGATAGTAATATAAAATTGTCATTTTATAAATAAAAGCAACAAAAAAAATGTAATGAAAGGTAGCATTAATTTCTAATTTGTGTGCAAAAATAAAACTTTATCTTTCAAGAAAGTTATTGGTAATGGCTTTTATTTGTGTTTTCATATAAACAAACTTTGAAATTCCAATAAGTGAATTTACCTACACAGACTGAGGACTGTCCCTAGCTTCTGGCTTTCATCAGCAGAGAGTGTTCTCTTTAATCAATTATAAGAGCCCAATGTTTGCAGTCTTCAGCAAAGTCTGCTAGGCTAAATTGATTTCCAGATATTTTATCTGGTAAACATTGCAATGAGAAGAAGAAATATTACTGTATCAAAGCATCTATTTTGATTATTAATATTTTATTAATTCTGAAGTAAAATGTGAGGTTCACAGACAGCTTGGTAATTCTATCTAGCTAAAAAATGCACTGAAACAGGTTATAAAAATATGTTTTTAATTAAAAGGGAAACAAATTAAAGTAGCTGAACTCATTATCTGTTCTTCAGATTGCCCACTCTAAATAAATAGAAATAAATGGAACGTTTCAAATTTCTTGTCTTAAAATATCATAGAAGATCAGCTAGTGCAAGAGGAGTATGGAATTTCTGTTTTAGGGATCATTTCTGTTTTCCTTGTCAGTATTATTAAAGCTATGATTTCTGGGTAATAACCAGAAGCTCAAGATTACTGATAATGCCAAATAACTTGGCAAGTTTTTTTTTTATTTGTTGCCTTAAACTTTCTCTACATCCATAAAAAAGCCTGGAGGAGTGAAGAAAATAAATAAATAAATAAATCTGGTGTGGACCAAAGCACAAATACAGAAATATTGCAGTTTATCATTGCAGAATTGGAATTGACTTCCCTTACCTCTGAAGTTACCACTGAGATGGCAAAGCTGTCTCCCTTCCTTACAAGCAGGTTGTTTCCCTGTGAGTCTCACAGTGATCTAATCCCAGCCATACTGGGATTATACTGGGACAGGCGTTACCAATGGATTAATATCTCTGGGTCTTGAACATAAGGGATCCCAGATATCTCCATGCACATACTGGCCTTGAGACCAGCTGTTTGAAAAGCTTTTTCCTCTTCTGTTATTTCTTTTTTCTTTCCTTTTTTTTTTTTTTTTTTTTAACTAATTTTTGCTCTTTCTTGGCTTCAGGCTTTCTCGTTAGATTACTAGATAAATCAGAATGAGACACAGTTTTCAGGAGACAGAGCTGCTGGGTTAAGTTTGTCTCCAGGGCAGCTTGCTATGAAGTTCCTTCTGGATTTTAAGAAACTGGCTTGTTGTTATGCTCTTCCCACCCCCAGAATCCTATGGGAACTGAGTGTTGTTGCCAAAACTTGATTTTTGTGTTGGACTATGAAGAACAGTTGGATTTTATCATGAAGTTATTGTACTGATGAGTGTTCCTCAATTACAGAGCATTAGTATGCACATAGGAGTATGTAAAGACGTTACAAGCATAAAACATTCAACAATGAAAGAAGTCTTTTTATAAATTTAGATACTAATTGGCCAGATATGTTCATGAAAACTAAACAGTGGCAGCAACCCCACTATATTTCCAGTGAATCTCGATAATTAATATGCTTGAGAGATTCTCTTATTCTTTTAATTTGCAGAAGATAGAATTACTGTCTCTTTCCTCTGGCAGAGGAAATATGGCAAGCATGATTTGTTCAAAGAGTTGTTGATTTGCAGTTTCTCAGCCACCTTAGCTGAACATTTTGCTTAAAAACATGTGACCACTTGGGTATGTAATTAGATGCTTTTGTTATCTACCTACAGTTTAAATTATATTGTTCCCTTTTCATTTATGTGCAAGACAGTGCTGAGATTGGTTGTTCGGTAGTTTGCCAAGATACTAATATTTATTCTCTGAATAAGTCTGAGAGAAAACAGGGCCTGTGTATAGTCATTTCTGAAAACATACAATTTAAATGTACTTAGAGAAACAAAATTTGATGGAAAGTCTTAAACTTATTCTACAAATCAAACTTTTTTTTTTTTTTAATTACTGTTATTATTTGACAAGAGGAAAGTTTTGTTTTAGTAAAACTCAAGGCACAGATTGGCATAGGTCAAGACTTTCAAACCCAGCTGCTGTAGTTAACCATGTTAACCATGTGGTATTGACCACAGCTGGAATCTCAGAGAGAAACCAGGGTCACGGTGAATCCTGAGAAAATACTGAATACTCAGGTCACTGCCAGCCCTGAGCTGACAGAAAGCGATCTGATGGTGTGGCTCAAGCTCAGCTCTCGTGGAAGGATGTGAATCCCACTGGGGTCACATCTACACAATCTATGGTGAGTCTGATCTGGTATTTTTATGTGAGGGAGAACAGACTTCTTATGGTGTCTGGAGTTGATCTAAACCTATACTGATTAGTTGTGTGTTTTCTTCTTGATACTTACTATGTGCATTCCGGACTTGTCAGACAGAAGAGGATATAGTAGCAGTTGTAAAAGACAAACCTTATTTCTTGTGAGCAAAGATTTTATTGTCTGCTTGAAAACAAACCAAGCCAGGTGACACAAGGAGTTTGGCCTTTTTTTTTTTTTTTTTTTTTTTTTAACATATTTCATTTTTCTTGAAGGGTTACAGATAAGATTGCAACTCATCACAACTAAAAAGTATGAGAATTGAGAAGGTTGATATGAGAAGACCTAACACTAACACCCGATTGCTGTCTCATGCAAGAGAATGTTTTCCCATGGCAAGGTCACTCTGAGAAACTGTCTTTTTAAATGAGAATGCATCCAGTGGAACAGCACATTCTTAAGAATAACATTTCTTTATTACACTTGATTGTAACTAACCTGCCAGAAAAAAAACTTTTTCCAAAAAGCTCCACTGATAAAGGTGGTTTGGGTTCAGTTCAGTGCCTTGGAATTCATTGAACAGGATTCCTGCATTTGATGGTCTTTTAGAAGTCCCATTTCCTTCCCAATTTCACTGCTATAAATACCATCAGATTGATTTTCTTACTTCATTTGCGGAGACAAAAATGCATAACTTCATTTTCTTTTGGATAGGTTGCCAATTTCTTCCTTGGAGCATTTTTTCCCTACACTGACAAGAAAAACATACTGCAAATAAGATCTTTTGTAATGATTTAATTTTTGTATTCCTCTGTAAGGGTTTCCTAAATGACAATTAGTGGGAACTTGCAAATGGGATTTTAAATTTATTTTTATTTTAAATGTGAATAGTGAGTCTGCCTTAAGTTAAGAAGGAACAAGAATTCTCTCTGAGAACTTGTATCTAAATTACATAGAAAAAAAACACATTTTATGCGTTTGAAATCATATGGCTGAGGGATCTGTAATTCATCTGCAAGTTTGTTTTTAATTTCACTTCAACTTGTTTGAAGGCTGAAGCAAAAAACATTCAAGCTACATGGGACTGAATTACTTATTTATTTTCAGACACAACATATCTGTTGTTGTGGATTCTCCATGAATTAAGAGCCAGATATTCTGCTGAAGGATGTTCTACTTCAATCAGAGGCCACAAGCGTTGTTGACTCAAATGACTAGGAGAAAATGAAACCCTGCTGTCACTCAGCCAAGACAATGGTGAACATGCCTCACTGCTACTACCAAGGTCTCCTTGGGTATTGGGAGAGATTTCTGATTGCAGAGGGGAAGATGTTGGGTGGGAGACAGTGCAGATATGAAGTCAGCAAGACACCAATATAAAAAGTAAAAAGTAAAGAAGTTGGGGTGCAAGCAATTGGGAAAGGTGCCAAGAGAGTGAGAAGGAGAGAACTTACAACAAAGTTCACTAGGGAGGAGCTTCAATAATGGCACAGTATATCAAAAAGCCCTGTCTCATGCAATAGTCCCATGTTCTGTTAATAAAATCAGCCAGTGCATTTCTGATTCTTGTCCTGTTGAAGATGTTGTTGTCAATTGCATTTTTGTATTAAGCTATTTTTAACTTTAAAGAGCTGGAAGAGAATTTCTAGCTCATTTACTTTATGTAAATATGCTGATGAGATATGCTCTTCTGCAACTGTATACTTGTGAAGTTCTCTTAGCATGTTTTAGGTACCCACATCCTCTCTACTAGACTTGATATTTGCCCTTTTTCTACTGCCAGGATGACTTATGTATGAAAATGAGGTAAATATAAAGAGTAAAAATACTAAATATAATTTGACTTTGAGTTGCTGGAGATTTCAGTCAGATCATGATTTCATAACCAGTGCACATAGTATATGAATGCAAAACTATACGTAGTGGTATCTAACCTCATACACTAAAGAGATGTTGGTTAACAGCACAAATGATTTGTCAATTTTGAATGTTTGTAAGCTAGCTGTAAATTAATATAGTGCCTCCATGCACTGGAAAATAATAGGTGCACAATGAGGCTAGGGTCTCATTGAACCTGGACTTGAACACCTCCAGGGACAGGGCACCCACAGTCTGTCTGGGCAACCTGTTCCAGTGCCTCTGAGTGAAGAATTTCCTCATAAACTGTAATCAAAATCTCCCCCCTTTTAGTTAAAAATCATTCCCCCTTGTCCTATTACTATCTGCCCAAGTAAAAAGTTGTTCTCTATCTTTTTTTATAAGCCGCCCTTTAAGTGTTGAAAAACTGTAATGAGGTGTGCCCAGAGCCTTCTCTTTTTGAGGTTAAACATCCCCAGCTCTCTCACCCTTTCTTCATAGGAGAGGTGCTCCAGCCCTTCAATGATCACAATCTTCACCTGAACCCTTAAAACCACCTGTGGAAATACTGCAGCTTTGTTCTGATACTTTCCCCATTAAAACCTCCTAGGCCTTCAGTTGCCTTATTAGTTGGTTGCTTAAGGCAGAAGAATCAGAAACATGGAATGTGAGTGCAAATTGCTATTATTTATACCAACACCAGCCCTGAGGTGAAATGTAGGTATTTCTTCTTCCCCAGACATCAAGGCAGCAACACATCTGTTTGTGGAAGACTGCTGTGTTTTAAAGTCCAAAGAAAAAGCCAGTGTCCAGGTCAGTTGGCTTCCTCCATCGTCAGCCTTCCCACGGAGAGCCCATGTAGCCCCAGGGCGACAACAGCACGATGTGGCTGCTGTGGAGCTGCCTGCTGAACGCAAAATTTAGACTGTGTAACAGTGCCACCAGGTGATAGCATGGATATAGGATTTACTGCCAGCATAATTCTGCTAAGCAACTATTTGCAGACTGACTATACTGTAAAGCATAACACATAAAGCATAAATAAAATGCATAAAGCATAAAGAATTTCTTCACTAAGCAGGTGTATATAGATCTTTGGACAAAATTAGCTTATATTTGCTATAAGATCCATGGTAGAGGGAGTGCATATGTATGGGGATTTTATTGTTTTTTATTTGTTTGGTTTTGTTTTGGTGGGGGTGAGAATATTTTGATTTGCTTTGGACTATTTTTGCAATTTTTGTAGGTTTTGGGGAAGCACCTTAAGGTTATGGCAGAAGGAGCAATCTCTCTGAGCTTGTTTACTTCTTGTATATTATAAATGAAAAAATAATCAGGACAGTATTCTGATGAATATTGGTCTAATGTTATTTATGTGAACCCCCAAGGCATATGGGATAAATATATTAATTGTTACTGATGCCAGTTTGAATCCAGCTTATTTAGTATTAAGTAATGTTATTCGGAAGCACTTTAAATTTATATGTGAAATCGGCGATGATCCTGCTGGAGAGAATTCTATAAAAAAGCTTCTCAGAATGTGATCCCATCCTAGTGGAAAAAGCCGTATTAATAAAAGAAGATATTTGCATCTCTGAGGAGTTCTGCTAACATTCAAGACCTATTAGTATAATGGGAAAGTTGCTGTCATGCAGCCTACTGTCATAAACAGAAAATTAAATAAACAGGAGTCCCTAACAAGACAGAATATTCAGGAAACACTGATAAAGGTAATACAGAATGATTAACAATTTAAAACCTTTTCCTCTTTCACTATATTCATGTTTGTTGATTAAAAACTGGGTCTTCCATTAAAGTGTAATTGGAATTCATTGCTTGAAGCCGCCTGCCCCAGATGCATGTCCTAGTCAAGGAAATGCTGTGAGCTGCTGAGTTGCAACCAATGTGTTTTCCATTTAATGCTTGTACTCCCTCTGCCAGAGCTTGTGCTCTGCTAGGGTGTAAGGGTGTAAAGAAGCAGAGTAAAACTGCTCCCACTCTTCGTAGTTACTTTTCCTGTTCAAGAGAGGGAGGGAAGAAATTTTATTTTATTTTTTGACTACCTTTAAATTCACAGTAAAGAACTGATGTAAGATTTCACTTAGTTTAATCTTCTATAAACTGTATAATTCCTGCTGTATACGAGGCTCCTTACTTGTCATTGTATTTCCTGTGAATTTTGGAGCAGATCTTTCTTCAGCTGAAAACTTGATTGTTTAAGGATTGTATTCACAATAAATTTTGAGAAATCTTCCTTGTCTCAGTAAACACAACTTTAATGGCATTAAGCTAAAAGAGGGGAGATTTAGACTAGAGGTTAGGAGGAAAATTTTCACTCAGAGGGTGGTGAGGCAGTGGCATGGGTTTCCCAGAGAAGCTGTGGATGCCCAATCCCTGGATGTGCTCAAGGCGAGGCTGGACGGGGCTTTGGGCAACCTGACTTGGTGGGAGGTGTCCCTGCACCATGGCAGGGGGGCTGGAATGAGATGGTCTCTGAGGTACTTTCCAACACAAGCCATTACCTATGGACTTGATAGAAGCATAATTTGTGAACTGTGACTTAGTCAAAGCCATTTTGGTCTGCTGAGGCTATAACAGAGCAAGCAGTTGTAATCCCACTGCTGCCCATAGCGCGCCGTCAGGTTCAGCCTCAGAACTGTTCAATATTGAACATCTCTTCTCAGTACGATTTAAAATTTTGTTTCAGATGATTTTGCTTCACTGATACAAGCAGGATCAAGCAATTTGCCATCATGTTTCCTATCAGAACGCAACCTAAATGGCCATTCAGATCAGTAACTCCATTTCTTTAGAAACCAAGTGCCTGTCTTCCAGTTCAGTAACACTCTAAGTTTTATGTGAAATACACACAAATTCCTGTTAAAGTAAACTGAGCTACTCACCTGAAACTCATATTTGGGCACAGTGGCCTGGGTTAAAGTAAATAGGTAGCTTTCTTCTGTTGTTTGAATGCTGATCCCCTTCATTTTCATAATGGCAGCAGTGCTGGTAGATAAATCACTTGTTTTGCAAGACAGATTATCTGCTCTGCTATCTTACAGTGTTCATTGTTCCCAGTTCTAGCTCACATTTCTGATTTTACTGTCTGTGAACAACTGTATGGATATGAGAGGGCAAACTGTACTATTCAGAGATGTAAAATTTCATGGTAAATGGCATTACTGGCAGTCAGTTTGTACTGACTGGAAATCCCATCAGAGCTTACTGAAGTTGGTAAGAAACCACACCAGCTTCAGAGATCTCATGCATGCATTGTTACCAGCTAAAATAGTTTTTTATTGCATGTGGACTTTATAATAATTAAATATGACACAAATCCAGTTATTAGTGTTTCTTAACAACAAGTGATTTAAGAGTTTTTCAAGTGTGGCAGATATGTATATACATGAATTGCTGCTGTTCTAGGGGAGGAGAGGGTAGTTAGTGCAATTCCACATCCCACAGGGAAATTAGCCGTTCCCCTCTTCAAAATAGTAATGCCTTCAAATCTGATTATCAAATTAGATTAAATGTCTTCTACTTAGCCATGCAGAATTTGGGAACACAGATAATTTAAAAACAAGTGAGCTTCACATAACTTAAGGAGAGATACAAAAATGTGTATATACGTTTTAAAGTACAATACAAATATAATCTACACTGCTACATTCAGTCATGATCTCTAGGCAAAGGTGTAAATCTGCATGAGCTCTCAGTGTTTGTGAAGTTTGCTCTGAGTTTGTTTCATCAAAGTTTTAAGCAGAATCTGATCCATCATTTCTGCAAGATGGTGTTCAGTAGGCTGTGTCGGGTAAGAGAGAAGTTGGCTTTGACTTACATAAAGGTGTTGTGTAAGGAATTTCTGTGATTCAAAGACAAGTATGGAATTACATTGGCAGCAGGAGCAACCCAGTGGCTCCCTGCCTTCCCAGCAGGGTGTGTGTGTGCATGTTGCATTGCTCATGCACAGAGAGACTGGGATGCAACTTGCATGTTTCTTCCCCTGCTTCTCACCCCAATAGATCTGCGCCTACAGTGAAATAGTATGTTAGCCCCACTGAGTTCACAGTCTCAATCCAAGAAACAGATTTTCTCTCACAACTTGCATACTTTGCTAACTTAATTAGAAACATTAATTCTGCTTTCTTTAGCAGTTGATCACTGTGTTGCCCAAATATTGTCCCCATCTGCTGTAGGACCCTACAAATGGTGATAATCGTTAATAATCAGATTCTTTTTGATATCTTTATGTGCATTGTGTTATTTTTTCTTTAAAAAAATGAACTTGAGCAATGCTCAGGAAATAATTCAGCTAAACTACTTGGTGGTGTTAAAGCTGACCTATGAAGGATCTACTGTTTGCAGAGATAAAATGTGCTCCTTTTGGAGACCAGTGACCTCTTTTCAAATAAAAAACATGCAGTGAGAGCACCAGCTGTGAGTTTCTAATAACTTGGTGAGTCAGGATGCAATCACTGAAGTAAAAACTTCTTGGGGCACAAACTGGAGTGAAAATTTGGTTCTGGTTGCTGTGCAGAGTAAGCAAAGGCAACAGCAAAGGCAACGAACATCCTCACTCCAGGTCTCTTGCACACAGTTCCACAGTTGTTGCCCTTTGAAAGCCATCCATCCAAAACCAGCTGTAGACATCTGTCTTGTGTCTACGTGTAATTGAATCAAAGAGATTTTAACTTCTGCAGTAACATAATTGTTTCAGCAAAAATACGTTCTCAAGATTTAAGTCTTCTCTTGCCATTCTTTGATGATCGACGATGTAAAAGTATAACTCGAGACAAGCTCTGTGTTTATCACATAAATAAATGCTGTGATTTTCTTAGCATTGATAAATATGAACATAAACTAATCCTGTTATCTAGAAGAGAGATGTAAATGGCTCATTCCAAAGCCTAAAAATCATTCTCTGTGTTTCATTCTCAAACCTTCACCAATTTTGATTAAAAACATTTCTCTAAATACTGCACTAATGAGCATGTAATTAATTTAACTACTGTCCTTATCATGCAAAGTTTCTCAGATATTGGACACTTACTGAGATTTGATAGCGAGGACACCTTGACATTGATAAAGTACATGATTTACTTCTGCTCTAGTTACAAGTTTTGACTGACTCAAACTAATTATAAGATAACTGTAATAAGCAATGACAGTGTCCTCATGAATGCAGTGTTTTCCCAGTAGCTACAGGGAATAGTAGTGTAGCAAGAGATCAAAGTGTTAATTACTGGTGCACCTGGGACCCCACCAGTGAACCTCATGTGCTTGGTGCATTACAAGCAGGACAAAAGCCACCATCCCTGTTTCAAAGGATTGCCAGGCAGAGGTTGCTGAAGGGTGGCTTGGGGATGAGTGGCACAGAGGAGACAGTGAGAGTGCGAACACTGAGCTGGGGATGGCTCTGTGGTAGCTCGGGGCTGCGCCAAAGACTGGGCTGAAGGCACCTGCTCTGCCTGTGAACATCTAGGTTTGCATGTGTCGTAGTTCCACTCGAGTGGGCAGCCGAGCTCCACCACAGCCACTCTCTCACTCTCCCTCTTCAAAGAGGAATGGGGAGAAAATATGTGAAAAGGGCTCAAAGGTTGAGATAAGGATGAGAAAATCACACAGTAATTATTGTAACGGGCAAAACAGACTCGACATAAGGAGACAGTAAGATTTATTGCTTATTACTAACAAGCTAGAGAAGTGAGAAACAAAGGAAAGAAACCAAAAGCACCTTCCCCTCCCATCCACCCTCTTCCACCTCTTCCCCCCGAGTGGCGCAGGAGAACGGGGGAATGGGGGTTATGGTCAGTCTACAGCACTTCTTCTCTGCCGCTCCTTCTCGGTCACTCTCGTCCCCTGTGCTGTGGGGTCCCTCCCACGGGATGCAGTCCTTGATGAACTGATCCAGCGTGGGCTTCCCACAGGCAGCAGCTCTTCCAGAACTGCTCCGGATATGGGTCTGTACCACGGGGTCCATCCCTCAGGAGAAAACTGCTCCAACCTGGCTCCCCCACGGGCAGCAGCTCCTGCCAGGTCACCTGCTCCACCGTGGTCTCCTCCACGGGCTGCAGCATGGAACCCTGCTCCACCGTGGTACTCCACGGGCTGCAGGAGGACATCCTGCTTCACCATGGTCCTCACCACAGGCCGCAGGGGACTTCTGCTCCGGCGCCTGGAGCACCTCTCCCCCTCCTTCTACACTGACCTTGGTGCTTGCAAGGCTGTTTTCTCACTCCTCTCACTCTCCCAGCTGCTGTGTGGCGCAGCGTTTTTTTCCCTGTCTTAAATATGCTCTCACAGAGGCGCAAAACAACATCGCTTATTGGCTCAGCTCTGGAAAACAGTGGGGCCCTTACCAAACATGGGGCAGCTTCTAGATCCTTCTCACAGAAACCACCCCTATGGCCTCCTGCTACCAAAATCTTGTCACATAAACCCACTACAGCATGTAAGGTGATGAACTTGACCATGGGTATCTGAGTGCAGTCACTGAGGTTCAGGATCTTGCCTATGCAGCACTACAGCTCTCCTGCTTCCCCCTTGCCTTCTGTTTGCCTGCAGTGCTTTGCTATAGCATACAGGTTTACCAAAAGAGAGGAGCAGGAGCAAGGAGAGGTGCGCGCAGAGCTGCCTCCCTGCCAGACAGGCCACAGCCTCTGCTTCTACAGCTCTGTGACCATGCAGCAGCTTATTGGAGTTTGGAAGTGTGCTAAAGTCCTTCCAAATACTGAAACAACGAAAGTACTGGGGAATTAGAAGTAGTTAATTGAAGCTGGCCTACTTGGCATATCCAAGGCAGAAGCCAGTGTCCTCCAGCATGGGCATATGAGAGTCAGGAGGCAATAACTTGAAGGTGTTATACAGTATTCAGGACTAAGGAATGGATTGTAAAAGATTGTTACAAGTTTCGAGGATATTATTTTGCTCGTTTTTATTTATTGATAGGAAATATTAATTAAACAGAAGAAATTGTGCTTTTTTACCTGCTTAAAACGTTAAGTTATTTTGGGAAGGTAAGTTGCTTCGTCTGGATATCTAGATGCATCTGGAGTGTTTTTTTGTAGTGAGCTGAATAAGACCTTTAGTTGGCCTAAATACTGAAGTAATGAGATGGTAACTTGAACTGACAGTTTTGATGTTCTGACCTTGTAGACATTCATGATTTCTTAGGGTTTCTTTATTATTCATCTAATGTTTTTGTACTTCTCTGAAAAGTATTTAAAAATACCTGTTGTTAATACTTTGTACAACAGTGTTATG